TGGTAAGAAACAGACTTAGGGATACCAGAATAGCCATGTGCAAGAACAGGTTGTAGTTATCTATTTCGACCACTGCTTCACATGTGTGGCGTGTAAATAGCCAGGAAAAAGAGCTTATTCCAAGTCTCAAGTTCAAAAACTTTCAATGAAGAACAAAACCGAAACCTTTTTACTTTATCTAGCATCTGGCTCAAAATAGAAAAAAATAATGGATAAGGTTAGAAATATATATTTTCTATCAACAAAAAGAAAAGATTAGAACGTTAATAAATATTATTTTTTTAAGAGAAGTATTATTAGAAAAATAGAGAGAAAAAGTACAACAGGATGGACAATTTATCCGACAAAAAATAAAAATAGAGGAAAACCGAAAACATAAACAACTGGCCAAGTCCTACGTAAAATAGAGAATGAAAGCACAGCCGCCAAATAATCAATAATGAATATCCTCCAAACCATAAATGCTTATGCCACTTCAACAATCCAATTTAAAATTTTAAATTCTCATTGTTTTTTTCCCAAATGAAACATTACTTATTTTTAAGAAAGTTGCCAATTTAAAGTCCAAATGACTATTAACAGTTGCAACTTCCTTAAAGTTTTGCAATAGAACTGTTAAGAAAACACTACTTCTTTTGGCCACTTCAACATTCCAATTTAAACTTTTAAATTCTCATTTTTTTTTCCAAATAAAACACTACTTACTTTTAAGAAAGCTGCCAATTTAAAGTCCAAATGACTATTAACAGCTGCAACTCCCATAAAATTTTGCAAAAGAACTGTTAAGAAAACAGTGGAGCTCAACAGGTACAAGCTACCAGATTTTCTGCTTAATTTATGAATTAACATCGGCCGTATACCTTTAGACTGATCTCAACACACACAAAAATACAATTTTTGAGAAAAAGTAGAAATCTATAAGCTGCTAGATTTTCAGCTTAACTTGTGAAATCAACCTCAGAAAATATCCCTTAGACTAATCTCAACATCAACAATAGTTCTATATTTGGCCATGGTTACAGCCAATTATATTAATCCAAGTCAAGTACTCAATCAAAACTAAATTGAAACTAACAAGAAAATGGAAAATTTAAAGTACTTGAATTAAAATCATTAATCCCAGAATCAGAAAAAATAGAGTACAGAAAATAGCAACAATAGACTACAGAAAATTCCTCGAATTTTTCACCACTAATGAGTGTTTAACAGAATCAGAAGACAATGACAGTATATAACAAGTAGTAAACCTAAATGCACAGTGATCGTGTAAGACAACATAACATTCTTCGAAGGAGAACTCAAGAAGAAGGAAATTCAATCAATATTACGAACCGATAACTTGTGATTAAAAACAATAACTAGAGGAACGGAGAGCAGGGCTGCAAAGAAACTAACACGAGAGTCTCCATGTTCAGTTTCCATTACTTTTGGATCATCAAGGGCCTCCATCGGTTGCCCTTCACTGGTTCTTCTTAGTTCCTGCAATAACAGTTACACAAAATTCTCATGAAACTCAAAAAATTAGGATCGCATAGAGAGAAGTAAACGATAAAACTCAGATGGGTATATAAAAAGAATAAACGAAAAAGACAATGAGAGGAAAAAGCAAGGGTTCAACCATGAAAGGAGACTTCAGTAGAGACTGAGACGGCAGACGGCAACCATAAACGGCGGTGAGACGAGGAGACGAAAAGGGTGAATACGATTGGAGAACGAGAGGGTTTTTTTTTTTATTTTTATTATTATTGTTAAATGGGGTTTAGTTTCGTAATCCTAAAATTAAATAGATAATGCATGAGATAAATACATTAAATAATTACATTTTGA